GCCGTTCCCTGCTGGCCCCTCCTGGATGCATGCCAGAATGAGCATTGAGCATTGAGGTCTCATAGGAAGCAAGCACCCAAGCCTTTCGAAGCTCACCCATTGCTAATTATAACCCCCCTTTCTGTAAATTATATAAACCTTGCTATTAAACCACTTTTGGGGAGTATTTTATGAAGAGGTCATTGTAATGCTTGTGATTCCTTGCCTTTTTAGGCCATTGCCCACATACAAAGATTCTCTGTGTAGATCTATAGTTTCAAAGGGAAAAAGCAAATAAATCAAGTGTGGACCGGAGTTTGCTTTCCCCTTCCCCCACCCCATACACCTACACACCTGGCACCAGGCATGAAAAGCTGTGAATCTGCTGCAGTTAAAGCGTGTGTTGGGGAAGGGAAGGATGCAAGATGTGCCTGAGATCCCCAAGCCCTTCCAACACAGCGGTAGCACATAAAACAGTGGGAGGTGGGGAGGCATCTTTGTAGATTGAGTGGAACAGCTACAAATGACAGATTCTTTCAGGAGGTATCAGGGTCATTAGAGGGAAAAAGCAGAGGCCTGGGGAGCGATGAATACAAGGGTGCTGGGTGAACAAAGCAGCTGGAAGGGAAGCGAGGAGTCACTGACAATCCCAAAGGAGCTGCCATGGCAGAGACTGGAGGGCAAGTTAAAGAACTATTTGCTATTTTTTATTAGTGTATTATTATAATCTGGATCCTGGAAGGCGTCACCCCTGTGTCAGTACTGTAACCCATTGCAACTTGCTCCCCACCCCCAGAGCTGGAGAAGGAACCCACCTTTCCTGCCTCCCTGTCCTCCCTCCACGTTTATCTACTGTAAATTATTCCTCTTACAAAAAAAGAAAAAAATCAGGCCCCTCGTCCTGTTCTCAGTTTACGTGGACAAACTTCCCCGCTGATACCGAGCAACATACTTTGTTTAAATGACTTTCTTCCCGAAGGTTTCCAAAGTGGTTTTCAAAATACATGCAGAATTGCTGAAGTGCAGCCACCTGGGGAATGGAGCAGGGTTATCTACAACTCTGCAACTGGGGGAAAGGGGGGGGGGGGAATTATTATGCAAGCATACGTGTCATACCAGATCTCTATTTCTGGGATCCTTGAATCAGTCAGCCGACTAAGCAGGAAAACAAAGGTAAGCTTATAAAAAAGCAATTCAATCTTGCGGCTTAATGTAATAGAGGTGTTTACTACACGGTTATTCTGAATGCTGTAAATCAGTGGTGCTCAGCGTACAGCCCACGACCCATATCCAACTTCTGAAATGGGAAAATCAGCAGTAAGGAGCTCAGCCCTTCGGCTAATTACAGATGGCCAAAAAGCCCAAAGCTGAATTGGTTCAATTTTGGAAAGTTAGTCTAAGCTGCGTAGATTGTATTGATAAGCAAGTGAACAGACATTCGCTTTCGATTCCCGAAATCCAGCCACTTGCCTGCAGTGGCCCAGGCTAGAAGCCGGGGTGCTACAGCACGCCTCCCTGCTCACCTGGAGCAGACAGCTTCTGCCAAGGCTAGTCCACCCACTCTGTGAGGAGAGGTTTTTCAGAGAGGTGCGAAGCATCCTTGGATGCTGGGGGACTAGGAGTTAACTTGAACCCGGAGGGGATCTGGGACAGAAGTTCAATAAACTGATTTAACTAAAGTTAATTCAGTCTGATACTACAACCATCCAAGCTGATCTTAAACCAGTTTCAGCCATTTTGAAAGTGGTTTATGTGCACTGAACGTCTGTTGTGTTACAGATTTGAACCAGTTTCCAGTCACTTATACCGGTTTATGTGTAATTTCTGTCCCTAGCCTATGTGTCCCCTTTGGTATCCTGAGTCATGCTGCTGATGCCCTCCACAGCCACAGCCCCAGCCCCTTCCTCTCGCCCTTTCCACCCTCACCCCTTATTCTGACACAGGCAGCCATCTTCCTTCCCCCATCTCTTTTTGGACAGGAATGGTGGCCTGTGGTACGGCTGGGTCACAAGCACCCAGCCCACTGCTGTAGAAGCTGGAACTCCCCTGCTGTAAATGAAGCATACAGCTTGGTAGCTTACAGTGGTTAGGCTTTGAAGGGATGTGCCTTTGCAGGCTAACTTGATTTTCAACTGCTCTTTGGTTCACGGTTTGGAAAAATGAAAAAAATTACTCCTGGTTCTTGATCTACAAGCAGCAATAATACCAACATTTCAAGGAACATAATGAATACACTTCCACCCCCTTTTTGTAGTATGAAATACTGACTGATGCATCATGCCTGCTGAAAAAAAGTATTTTTATGGCAGTCTCCTTGGGCCAGATTCTGCAATCTCTGCTTAAAGTAATAATTGGCAATATTGTTCCATCATTAGTCATATCCTGCTCTGCAAGCAGCCCACGGCAATCAGTGGGATTGTTATTCTCAAGGAGTTTGGTAGTTCTCAGGAAGAGTAAGGGTTGTAAGAATTTGACCCCATTGTTTGTTAGTTTTAGTCTGTAATTATGATGGGCAGCCAAGCCATATCCTGTTTGCATCTATTGGAACTAATGCTGAAACAAAACAATCGCCAGGGTTGTTTCGCAAACCCTCTATCTATGGAACTGCCACCAATGGTAAAAGGAGTCCACACATGCGTGGCATTAGCCGACAGAGATCTGGGATGAGGCTTATATGGAGCAATGGCTATGGGAAGGAAGCAGTGACATCCTATCTAGTGTATTTTGGCTTCCTCGAAGCATAAAGATGTTGAAAAAGGCAAAGCAAGTTTTTAGAATTTCTTTTTTAAAGCTCAAGTTATAGTATTCATTGCACAAACTCTGTCCCTGGATCGGTGCCAATGGGAGCTCAGAAATAGGGACCCATGAGCCCAGAGGTCACCCTACTGTTTGTCTTTGCAACCTAGAAGGAATTGCTATCGATGGGGCTGTACTTTGTTTCGTTAGAATTGCAGCTGGCACTGAAATAACAGCCGGCACGTTTCTTCTCCACATCTCGAAACACTTTCCCAAGGTGGGTGGGCATGTGCTACCCGATGCCCTGGCCCCTTTTTATAGGGGACACAACTGAAGCAGAGAGTAATCTTGGTAGCAGAGGGATGTGAGCTCTCACAAAATCTTATGCATCTCTCATCCAGTTAATCTATGAGATGCATCTCTACCCTTCCTTCTTAGTAGCAGGGTTAAGAACAGCCCTTTGCTTAATCCAGCATGCCCTAATCCACAGTTGATGTCAATGGAGAGACTCCTCTTGACTTCCTTTGGCTTTTCAGCAGGTCCTTAGATCACTGCTGAGTTAGTTAACGGATGAGTGACACGGTGACTTTATGTAGACTGCTGGGAATAAACATGGTTGTTAGCATCCCTCTTCTTCAATCGGGCAATCTCTGTTTGACTGGATGTTTCTGCCTCCTTGTAGGCTCATGTTAATGGCTACTGAGTGTTTACAGTATCAAACAACCACTGTTTGAAATGCAACCTTAATGAAAACTATCCATGTCTGCAGCAGGATGGAGAAAGCAAAAGGCTTTGACATTCTGTTTCCTTGCTTGATGTTTTTTAACACAACAGACATAACTGCAACCTACCATTTAAAGACAAATAAGAAAAGTTGGTTTCATTTGCATAACAAAAAGCTTCTTGGACTTGGGAGCAAGGAGATTCCTTTGAAATGCACAATTGTTTCTGTCTTTGATGGGGAGAAAAGGGTCCCTTCAGCTTGGAGCTCACCCTTTCTCCTCAAAAGAAAAAGAAAAGAAAACTCACAGAAACACAAAGACAGTGGCCAGCTGACCCTTTGCCTGCTATTTTTTACTATCTGTTCTTCTTCATGGTACCAAAAGTGCTGTAATCAACTCACATTTCAGCCTATGTGCATGAAAAACACTGCCCCCCATTATAATTTGTTAGTGTACAAATCTTTGGAGTATGAAAATATTATAGATGGTCATTGTTCAGCATGGGGATTTCGTAAAAGACAGTGATTAAATCCTTAAACCTTGCGCTTTGTATATGCAGCAAATACATCAAGGAACTACCCAGGGGGGTTTAACAGTATGGTTTTATTTTAAGGAAAGGAAGTGCCTCCGTCCCCCTCCTCTTCCCCACATGCCCCAAATTACCGCCTTGCCTTGATTGTGTGCAGAAGCGCATACTGCAAACAGCAAAAAGCAAATTTCCAAGTTTATGAGATTGTTTAAATTGGGACCAGGGGAGGAAGCGAATAGTTCATTAGCTTTGCTGGCTTCCATATTTCCTATGGGATGATTAAGAGTTACACTCAGCAGTGTCTAGCTCAACCTCTTTTAAGAGCAGGTGAAAATTAAATAGAGGTACAGTAATGGCCTAAAATTAATCCCTTTTAAAATATATTCCAGGACTTTACACTACTCAGCACATAACAGATTTGATTCAGGGTCAAATGTCCCCGTTCAGGGCCCAATGCTGTGAGGCTGTAAGCACAGCTCAGTAACTTATACGTTTTAGTCCATGAGTTTATCTTAAATACTTCAGTGCCTCCCATTGCCACGAGACCTGAACCTGGTGCTTAATATAATAATCTTCAAAGCACCTCTATTAGGCAGGAAAGTGCTATTATTCCCATAGTATTGTTGGGAACAGAGGCATGCCTGGTTTGTAGATAATTGAGAGGTATTTTATTAACAAATAAAAGACACGCTGAGTTTGGAACAGATGCTCATTTATCTCGCTTTAGTAAACATGGACAGATTTAGGTACAGTAGAAGACTGTTCATTATAGTTTTTAAAAAGTACATACTAATCTGGAAAAGTTTCACCCTGGGTTCCTTGCAATGCATTTTTCTGCAAAATCTGTCATTTGAAAAATCAGCAGATTGTCTCTGTGGGCCTCTAAAATCATATACCTCTGGGTAGTCTTTCTGTAGATCAAAGCTATGTTTTATTACAACATAAAACACTAAAAATGCCCTCACTTAAAGCACTAGTTCCCCATACAAACAAAATCAGCTTCACCCTTTGGAAAACAGCTGGCATTTGGTTTGGTGGAGTGAACTGAGATATTTCTGAACTGACTAGTCCTTTTCCTGTAGGCTTGTAACAGGTGAAACTGGAAATAGGAGCCATGCACCTGAAACACGTCTTCAGGTTTTGTTTCTTGTCCAGATGATTTAAAAATTCTTTTCCTGATTTCATAAACAGTTTCCAGAGCGCATCCTAGAATAGTATCATTTCTAATAAAGTCCTGGTCTGCTAAAATCAAAATATATCCAGAGCAATGAATATATGTAGCTCATAGCTCCCCTTCCTGTGATCCAATTGCTACACCCAATATAAACCTGCCATAGTAGTAGCAGAGTCACAGCTTTGTCTGCAGCAGTTGTTGAGCTTCAGAGGCAGACCCATTCAGGGAAGGAAGGGGGAAAAGCCAGGGGATATGCAATGAGGTGGTTTTCAGCCTAGGTGGTTTTACTTGCCTGGCAGGGGAGATGCTCTTCTTCTTGGCCTTGAATGACTGGGTGTAGTTAGAGGGGAAAGGCCTGTCCCTTGCGCTGCAGGCAGGCTGACCTCTGTAAGAGTCTACAAAACACCTCCAAATGTGATGATCTTGGCTACACAATGTATGATGATGGGGGATTGCTCTCGGGCTTTCCCTCTAGCTCACTCATTTGGCCTTTTGGCTAGGGACAAGTGAGACTAGGAGGCATCCGAATTCCAGGCTTGGGGCTTGCAAATAGGATCCTGCCATGGATTTGGGAGTACCTGGAGCCCCAAGAGGTAGGATACTCGCTGGTGGTAGCATCACACAAATTTGAACAGTTGAGCTTGGCTCAGTCGATAGAATTTGGGACTGATTTGGTCCAAGACATGAAATTAATAAATAAATAAATAAATAAATAAATGTAGACCCTTCCAGTTGTGAAGAGACCCATACTGTGAGATACCAGAGGACTTTCCTGGCTAGAATTAAATATAAACTGATTGTTAACTGTTAATATCTTGTTCTTCACCATTTTCTAACAAATTATTCTAAACAGTTGGGAAGAACATGATTTGGCTCATGGTGTCTTGTATTAAAGAACAACAATACTATTTTGCTTTTAGATAAGGCCTTGCTGCACATCATCTGTGGCTATCCAGGCCTTAGTACCATCTAGGAGGCTCACAAACAGAGCTGAGATGTTGCAGTTGTTTGGATGTCAAAGCACATCTTTCTGTCAATGAAGAATTTTGTCCATGTCAAACAGAGAGAGAGATGGAGGTTGCCTCTGTTTTTTCCTTTCAACAACTCCACCTATTAATTAGGCCACACACCCTAAAGTAAGCATGACACGGACAAGAAAGATTGGCCTCAATGATATAAAGAACTGCAAAAACCGGTATGTCTAATATAATCTGGCTCAGGTAGATAACCCAGAGAGACTATAAAGTATAAAATGGTACTAAACAGATATTAAACTTAATTAAAAACAACCATTTGTAATAACTGTACAGTGTATATCATCCCTGCCTGAAGCTTTACAATCATCCGACTCCACACCCTACCCCTGTTCCTCCTGCTCCACCCAAGCTTTCGTGTCCTTTGCCCAACTCATGACTTTGTGCCATTGTTCCAAGGCATCTGAAAACAGCCTTTCACTTAATTGCCCTTTTTTCCCACCAAAAAAAGCACCCGAAAACAAACTACTCTGGAAGGGTCTACAAATGTGTAGGGCCAGATCCTGGCTGGCAAAAATCTGCATTGATCCTCCCGTATCAATGCAGTTACACTGATTTATACAAGCTGAAGATCTGACCTATTCTGAGCCTCTTCCATATTCTTCTGTATCGAGCCTTCTTCAATGCTTAGTGGTTAAGACAGTCATCTCTTCAGAATAGAGCCCCCTCGTACATCTTGGACTATTTTGAAGCCAGCCAGCCAGTTACATACTTAGTTCTGGATAATAATGGACCAAATTCTGGAGTCCTTGAAGCAGTATTGATTCCATTTGTATCGCCAAAAGAACATGAGTGCTTTTAATCTAGTCACTGTATTTTGTGTGTGAGGATGTAGCTGGAATACACGTAGTTACTGAGTGTCTGTAACACAAGGGGAAGAAATAGATGTATATAGTGGAAAACAGATTGGTCCCAGCAGATCCAGGACCTAATATGGACTTTTCCTCCTAAAGTAAGTAAAGATATGCACGTTGTGTCCATGTCCTCCAAATGACAGTGTAGAGGTATCTGGGCTATCAACCCATAGCATATGTAGTAAGAAGCTATGACTTTGTGTTATTTAGATAGTTCAGTTCTGGTCATAGGTGACTGGTAGGGGGTGTATGGGGGTGTATGTGCCCCCCCCCGCCCCCAAAGGGGCTGGTGCCCCCCACGATGGCCAACACTGATGCTGTCAGTAGAGCTGGCACCCCCTCTGACAGGGCTGCTGCTATCAGTGGCTTCTGCAGGGGCCACCCCAGATTCAGGAGGCACCAGTCACTCATGGTCCTGGTTGTACCAGTGTTTCATATGTCTGTTTTTTCCGTGTGTTGTTCTCCTTAACCCAGAGAGTGCAATTAAGGAGGAGGATAGTGAATACAGTGACTAAGGACAGAAGTTAAACATACACCTATATAAATGATCAGAAACTGGTTCAAATCTGTAACACAGATGATCTGCAAGGTCCCTTCCAGCCCCTAACGATCTATGAACCTGTGTAGAATCAGACTTATCTGATTTAGGTTAAATCAGTTCATTGAACTTCGGTCACAGATCTCCTCCAGATTCAGGTTAACTCACAGTCCCCAGCATCCCAGGATGCTTTGCACCTCCCCCAAAAACCCCTCCTCAAAGGGTGGGTGGGCTATGCTTGCCCCAAGCTATCTGCTCCAGCCAAGCACCACCCTCCCTGCCACCTGGCATGAGCCACGATAGGCATGGGGATGCATTTCTGGAATCAAAAGTGAATGTCTGCTCACTTGCTTATTGGTTCAGTCTACGCAGCTTAGACTAACTTGCGAATATTGATTTAATAGATTTCATAGATATTAGGGGCTGGAAGGGGCCTCA